GCCCCTGCACTCCAGTCTGGGCGACAGTGAGACTCCAACTCAAAAAAAAAAAAAAGAATCAGAGGCCTTCTCCTGCCAACTCCCCCGCCCGTCATTTCACACTAGCTTTCTTTTCTTTTTGGAGACGGGGTCTGGCTCTGTCACCCAAGCTGGAGTGCAGTGGTGTGATCATGGTTCACTGCAGCCTCAGCCTCCTGGGCTCAGCCTCCCAAGTAGCTGGAACTACGGGTGTACACCACCACTCCTGGCTAACTTTTTTATTTTCTGTGGAGACGAGGTCTCACTCTGCTGCCCAGGCTGGTCTCAAACTCCTTGGCTCAAGCAGTCCTTCCTGCTCAGCCTCCCAAAGTGCTGGGATGACAGGCGTGAGCCAGTGCACCAGGCTTATGCTTTATTTTCAGTCATGTGGCTTTCCTCTTCCAGCTCAGCCTGGGCTTCTCCTGGGTGATGACAGGGTCACAGTCACTTTGTCCTCAGAGTCTCGCACAAGGCCCGGCTCCTAGGATGTGCTCAGAGTGTGTCCACCGCAGTGGAGGGAGCCACTGGGGTCCCTCTGGGGACAGGAGCACTCACGGTCTGTCCTGTGGGACCCAGGGGTGGTGCGCCTTGTGCGGAGACAGGACACCACCTGATAGCCTGGAAGCTGCCTGGGGAAGCGCGCAGAACTGCAGGGGCTCGTGGAGCACAAAGGTGTCCTTGCCATCACACGAGGTGACCCAGGACAGGCTGGGCGCCCTGTCTGTGGCCTCCTGCGCTGACCTCCGTGGGGCACTCCAGCTGCTCAGCGAGCCGGTCAGTCACACACTGGCCTGAGCTGGTCAGGTGCCCCCAGAGTTTCCGGAGATTCCTGGGGGAGCCTGTCACGAGCAAGAGCACGGGGCAGTCACCCTCCCCGTAGTTGCTGACTTCCCGCGAGAAAGCTGCGGCGCGTGGTCCTGAAGCCCCAGGGGCCCAGGCTCGTTGATGACTTCACCAACGTGTGTCCAGTCACTGCTGAGGCCGGGTCCTGCTGGAGTGAGCCCACTGGCATGGGCCGGTCGGCAGGAAGGGCTGAGGCTGCTTTAACCCAGTGGTTGCGAGCACGACGTGCCCAGCGTGGGTGCCCAGCCTGCGTGACAGCAGGACCTGGCTTCCTTCTGAAGGAACGTAAGCATGGCTGGGCTTCCTGGTCACTCAGGGCACGTCCCGGGGGGGTCTGCTTGCTTCTGGGACTGCCAACGCCACTCCTTCTTGGCACGATTCTTTGGGCCGCCACCTTTAGAATCAATGTCGCCACTCCTGCCCGGAGCGTGACCTGTCCTGCAAGATCTCGAGCAGGGTCTCAGCCGGCAGCCGGGAGGCAGGGGCCGTGGGTGTGGAGGCCATCTGGCTGTGTGCCTGGGCCCTGCCTTGGGGCTGGGGCGGTCCCGCTATCACGGGAGATCATCCTAGTCATATGAGCCTGGGTAGGGCGTGGGGGTGGCGGGCTGAGACAGACAGGCCAGCCCGTGTGACTGGGTCTTCCAGCACGCCCTCCGCGCCACGCTCCCCACCGGCTGGTCTCCGGTCTTGTCCGTCCCCCGAGGACCCTTGCTCCATCGAGGGCACTGGGGAACGAGCGCCTATGTCATGTGGCGCGACACCCAGGCCTCCTCCAGCCCCCGGGGCTGCTCGGGGCATGGCCGGGCTCAGCCTCTACCCCGTTCCCCGGCTGGGTGGCCCAGCCTCGCGTGTGGGCACAGGAGAGCTTGCCCCACCCGCAGCCCTGCGGGGGGAGGTGGCAGGGCAGCCGTGGCAGAAGCAGCACCTGCCTAGGACGCGTGGTAGAGACCCAGGGCAGGTGTGTGGGCAGGTGCTGTGGCCTTCTCACGTCCCCACCCGTGAGGCTGACCACCCTGGCAGGGTGCCCAGCGGAGAGCACCGTAGGGCCTCGGGGTCACTGTCTGCCGGCCTCGCCATGCCCACCACCCACGTGTGCTCCCCCGTCTTCCCTGCACCCTGTGTCTTATGCACACGCGGGTCCACGTTCCTTGCGTGTTGACGACCACTCGGAGCTTGGTGTTGCTTCCCATCATGAGCGTTTTCCTTCAACTTGGAAATATTGCCACACAGCTGGTTAAGATGCCAAGGGTCTCCTGTGGTCAAGCTGTGTCCCTGGCATGGACTTCTGCCTTGGCCTGGCTTCTGATTCCGTGGTCAGTGGCGTGAGGTCCACCCTCCTGTTTAGCCTTCCAAAGATGCTCTGTGTACACCGCCAGCCGCTTTCTAGATAAATGCTCATCTCAGCCATCCAGGCAGTGATGGCCTTGTGCTGAGTGGGATGTTATGGGGGAAACAAGGGCGAGGCTGAGGGGTGACTCACTCCCGCTGGGTCATCCGCAGCTGCAGCGTGGTTTGCACACACGCGGTCCGCCCGAGAGCGGGGATGCCCAGCCCGCTGCCCGGTGGGGCAGACCTGGGCCCGCGTGGTGTCGTCCGCCCCACCCAGGGGCGCCTTCGGGTCCGAGTCATCGTCCCTTCCCGTTTGTCTGAGCGGCCCTGTCCTTCCCCAGGACACGTGAACTTCCGTCTGCCTGCAGAGGATGACTTTGATGCCCTGGTTTCTGCGGCCATCAAGGCTGACAACACGTGTGGCCTCGCTAAGTGCACCGCCAGCGTCGCGACGCTGGGCCACTTCTGCCAGCTCTGCGGCCGCCGCTACTGCCTCAGCCACCACCTGCCCGAGGTACCGTCCTCCCTCCTGGGATGGGCGGCGGGACGGTGGGAGGGAAGCTTCCTCCCCAGATAGGCCTCCCTCCCTCGGTGGCGAGCTTCCGTTCACGGTCAGGGCCGCGCTCCGGCCTGCGGGCGGGGAGGGCGGGGCGCTTCCTCCCCAGCGAGACGTGCTCCAGACAGAAAGGCCAGCAGGCACGGCAGGCAGGCGAACCGCCCTTGCGGGCGTGAGGCCCCAGCGCCCGCGGGAGCGGAGGCGTCAGGCTGGAGAGGCGAGGCGGGGAGGCTGGGGACTCCCGGACTCAGGCCTGATGGGGAGGTGGCGGGGCGCACGGAGGGCGCCGCCAGACTCCGCC